CAAAAGAGCTTTTGTTTGTATTGGTTATATTTATTGATATGCACCATATTAAAAATTAAAACGATACATTTGCTACTACCATTTCTCACGATTATTTGATGGGATTTTAATATTGTATTATTTTTCAACATAGGCTGGCAAATAATTTTGATTTTGCAAACCCTGCAAGGGCCTTGGGGGGCTCCAAGGTCCTAGAACCACACTTTAATACTGGAACGTTCAACCCTGAAGGATGGCTCTTCAGCTGTTTAAACACCTCCTTTGATATTATCATTTTTTAAACAGTCTCTTGTAACATTAAACAATATTGCTAATATTTAGCTGAAATCTGCTTCGCTGCTATTTCCATTCATTACTTTTCTAGTACTTTCTGAAGCAGGTATAGGCAAAGTTGAGTCTGTGAACATTAATGTACCCTGGGCATCCGGTAGCTTCCCTTTCCTTCCCTCTATGACTTTTGTTTTTAGATTGTTTTCAATAAAATTAATTAACAGGAAGTTGGCATTGCTGCAAAGCACCAGTTTGTTTCCTCACTTGAATTTACAAGAATGGTTCTGAGACCCACACAAGCCCCATAAGCATTCAGACCCCAGTGCTCTCTTTGGAAATGTGCCCATCTGCCCAGTAAATACAGATAAAATTGGGATGGCACAAAACATCATGGAGGAGTATATGAGGTGTTGGGAAATAGTTTGGGTTATGATCATTGTTTTTGTGACCGGCCTTGTCTATTTTGCACAAAAATGCAAAACGTATTTTCAAATGACAACTTACTTTCAAAATTCTAAAACATTCCTATCCCTGCTCTGAAACAATGAAAAAAAAAAGTCTGCTCCATCTTCTGTATAATCTTTCAGATATTTGAAAGCCCCCTTTTTCTATGTTACAGGCAAATATATCAAATATTTACAACCATTCCACGTAGGATTTCAGTTTCCAGACTTCCCAGCATCCTAATTATATCCTCTGACCAGTGTTTCAATAATTGTACAACACTTTTCATAGACAGGATCAGTGATTCAGTAAACTTCATCAGGAGTTAGGGTTCTTTTATTCTAGTGAAGCTAGTAAGTTTGCCTCAGTGTAATGTAGGCTTCATTAATCAATGCTTTTGTGCAAAAAAGAGCAAGTGTCCAGAACCAAGAGTAAGACCATGTACTTCAGTAACCTCACAGCTTCCAAAGTATATAGTTAAAATTACTTACGTTTCTGTAAGAAAAGTGAGTTCCCATATCACCTCATGCCCTCAGCTTACTGTTCAACAAAGTGGCAGAGCTTTATACTACAGGAAAATTATGCTGTAATTTATTTTATCTGAGAACAAAATAGATGCTGTTTGAAATCATATTGGGACAAGTGGTTTTGACTGGGTCCACATTGCACTAACCGTGATTTGGTTAAGGTAAATCCTCCCTTGAGTCCTGTTCAATTCCTGGTGACTATGTATGGGATGTTGGAAATAATGAGTGACTTGCTGCTGGCTTTTTTCAGAAAAAATGACTTCTCTGTAATCCACAGCTATAGGATTTCCTTGTAGTTTTCCATCCATCCATCCATGCAGTAATCGCAGTAATCCAAGCACTAAGTTCTTTTTAGCCAGGTATTGTGCTTATCTATGGTTTATTGAATTAATTTTGATTGCTTCACATAACCAAAAAAAAGTTCAAACCAAACAAATCACATTATGACTTAGAATGAGTTATATTAGCAGCTTGAATCGACAGGCTTAAATTTGCTGAATAGAGCTTGTACACAGCCATCTCATGACTAAAGTATTATCTGCCATGCACTTTTCTTTCCCTTTTGCTCATTGCTAGATCAGGATATATTGCAACACAGACATTTCTGATTTCCATGTCATGCAGAGGGCTCCCATTCACAGACACTACGAAAGTGTAATATGGTTTGTCTGTTTTCAGAAACTGTAATATCCATACCCATCCACTAGGGCTCGGTATTGTACATGAATCATTCAACTCTGTCCTGGCCAACAAATTATGATTAACAATTCTGTCTGATGATATATAGGAATATAAACAATGATGCATCTTTGAATTAACTTTGAATAAGATCAAAGGACACAGACTTCTATTTACTCATCTAAATCTCAGGAAGAACCTGGAAATTTTGAAAGCTAGGATATTTTTATAATTGATACAGTATTGTGTTTAATCATGATTGGCTGCATAAACGACAACTCAGTGAACTCACACAACATGCCAGACCCAAGCATTTTAGGTTTAACAATGGAAATAAAGTTATGGAACAAGATATGGGTATACATTAAAATGCTAACAATAAGTCATAAAACACTTTGCAAAATTGGGAAATTATTATTGGAGGGAGAATAAACTAGAACTCTTCCTGAGACTATGCTGGAAATGTAAAAGAAAATTGCGCATTTAAAACAAAGTATAAGAATTGCTTAATAAAGATAATTGTAGATATCTATAGATGATTGAGATACATCACAAAGATAATATAGCTTGAACAAAGTGTTGCTCCAGATCTTTGCTTCATAGAATTTTCTGTCATGTCCCATAAAGCTTCCACTGTCATTTTAGCCTGTTGGGTTGGTGGAATGGGGAAAGAGAGGGGAAAAGTGATATACTCCAGGATCCATAGATGGAACAATTTGGAACCTAAAGATACATGGATGTTTACATAAAACAGGATGTATGTTAAAATTCTTGTTTGTTCTTTATTATAGACTTTAAGATGCCTTTTAAAAAAAGTATGTCCTTGATTTATGTTGTAGCACAGATTAAGAATAATTTCTACTTTCACTGTTTTCTACATCATTAATACAATCACATTTACGTTAAACCATGCATTATATAAAAATATATAGCATGCAGCAATCCTCTTAATTCTTTTAATCAAAGAGTGCATTAGCCTAAGATGTACTTGGGAGAATTCAGGGCAAACAATCTTCTCCAGCTGCAACCAGTTTTTCTTGTTTGGCTTGTTTGCTTCCCTCCCTCCTGAAAGTTAATTACTCAGCCATTGAGTTGGGCTTGATAGATAATAAATATATAATTATAACATGTTTAACTACAACCCTCACCACCTTGGTGTATCTTATGATGTGAAGCAAGGATAAATTTTTCACATCCATTATGGGGATTGCAAACCATAGTTTCTGTTCCATTCAATCTGATCATCTAGGAACCTTTCCCTTAAATACCCCTTCGAAATGAAGAAAGATGTAATGCAAGATGATGGTGCAAAATGAAGCAAGAACACCGATTTCATATCCTTTTCTCTCCAAGCCTACTTAGAAATGAGTCTCACTAGATTCAGTGCCAAAAATATTGTCTAAAATTGCACTGTTACTGGAAAGAATTATACAATAAATTCAGTATACAAATAACACAGCAGCAGATTCTTCAAACCTCCCTCCCTCTTCTTTTTTCCTGTCCAACACAAAACTATCCATAAAAAACTTGTTTCCCTATAGAATGATAAATTATTAGACATTTTATAGAGAAAAGGTCTGTTTCAGCAGATGGAGTTATACGGCACATTTCGGTCCTGTGCTGTACATGTCTATTCGGATATGAGTCCAACTGACCTCAGTGATCTTTATTTCCAGATAAAACAGTATCAGGATTGCAACCTTTCTGTATGGAATTAAGCAACAGAAGCAAACTAAACTCTACAGCAAATATAGAAAAAACATTTCACAGAGAACTCCAAACTTCCTTACCTGGGATGTACAGTTTGGTGATATTCATAGTCCTATAATCTCCTGACATAAGTGGTTGAATAAGCAGTCTCAAAACTTGGGT